TGTGTGTGTGTGTGTGTGTGTGTGTGTGTGTGTGTGTGTGTGTGTGTGTGTGTGTGAGGGGGGGGGGGGTCAAACAGGTGGGAAAGACTTCATGACCAAACACACCTTTGTAGTGATGAGAAAGCAGGACTGCAGCCAGAGGTTAATGGTGCTTTCACTTGTCTGTCAGTTAACGACTAAACTCACCTCGTCCTCAAGAAAAACAAGACAGACACAAGAAACCAACTTTTACATAAAATATTATTTATAAAGAAAACACATGAAATGAGATGATCTGACACTTGAATGACTTTTGTAATATTTTTTGTGTCTTCTCAACATTTTAGAGGCAAACATTGTACTTTTACGCTCTGACAGTTAAAGTTACATGTTGCTTTACCAATTTAGCTTTTATACAGAAAATACAAATAAAAATGTTTGTTATATAAATGATATACAGATAGAATATATATATAGATGAATACAAGTATCGAAGGCTCCCATTTTTTGTGATGTCATTAAAATCATTTTTGATTCCCAAATGAGGTAAAAACTTTCAATATTTCACAAAAAAAGGCAACAACTAGAGCAACAATTTATCTTGAGACCTTCAGGAACTAAACTACCAAACGGTATATAAAGTAAAAGTAGCTCCACCTCAACCAGCTGCAACAGTAATCTAATAATGTCAGATATAAGAGTAATTTTTATACTTTAAGTACAGTTTGCTGATCTTACTGTATTTTTACTGAATGCAGGACTTTTTTCTTGGTATTTTTATATTGTTGAACTGTTACTTTTACTTTAGATATTCGTACTTCCCCCACTGCTGCCTTTGTATCTTATAGCACATGGTGAATTGTATTTTATATATTTTTTTGGAGTATCTTTTAAATCAGGGCTTTTTTATTTATTTAATTCTGCTTTTATTGTTTTTTGCCTCCGCAGTCTAAGATAATGATGTCAATGAAAACAATTATGATGATTTTAAGTAATATTATTAAGTAAAGTTATTTCACTTAATTTGTGACATTTAATCAAAACTTTACTGATAACAACCAATTATATACTTTTAAAAGTTGAGATTGGTGAAATTGTACAAATTAAATTATAATTATATTCATTTTGTATATAGTAAATTGTCATTAATTTTAGATTAATACGTTATGTCAATACCCCACATTAATTATGATAAATAAGAGGTAAAAATAACTAAAGATGTGTCTTTGATAAAGTGAAGCCCAGTAAGTATTAATGCATCAGGAAGTTACAGTATGTAATGTATTCTTATACACACACACAATTCTGTGTGAGCATGCATATCCAAAGATAGATTTTCTAATTCACCCCAGTTATTTTAAATAACGCCGTGTGCAGTTTTTCAAAGACAAACTTATAAATATTCGTTCTTCCATGTTGTTTGTTTTGTGTGAAGAGATATTTTGATGAGATGATACATTAGATGATAATAAATTGATACTCGTGTTGAGCTTCCTCCATCATATCATCTATGGGAAAATCCCAGATTTGACATGAGCATCATTACAACTTAAAATAAGCGCACGGAGCTGTGCACATACAGGGTAAGAGCTGCATCGGCTGCTGAGCGTATAGAACGCTTGTATCTCAGGCCGCAATATAGCAATGGACATCACAAACCAAAAATAAAGTCAGCCAGTGGCCGCTGCTCCTCTCTGCAGGCAGATGGAGGTGGACAGAAGGAGGGTGGAGGGACAGTGTCCACCGGTCCAACAAGCATCTATGTAGCGAATGTCCTTATTAGTCCACGTGGGACTGCAGACCTGCAATATGGTCCCCCAGCTATCAGGTTTACTTAATTCCAAGACTCCTGTGTCTATTTCTGATCTCCTGTAAGGTGATACGCTCCCCCGCCATTCTGTCTCCTTCCCTTTAGCCATCAGTTCATCCCTGACCATCCTCTTGCTCTCTCCCCCCCTTCTCTCTCTCCAGCTCACCCTCTCTCTCTTTTTTATCCCCATCCAAACTTGAGGCTGTGGCTAAAGTTAGACCGGCCTGCGGAGGGGTATATAAGCCTCCGGGGATGTTCGTAAAATGCGGCTTCACACTGTCTTCTCCTCCTTGATCAGCCAAACCTCCACTCATACCGTCTCAAGATGGTGAGTACCAGGTTTCCCACATCTCTGCACTCTTCTGGTGGAAATATCAAACCAACCCCATGGATTAACTCTTATCCGCATTTTTTTTTTGTTTTTTTGTGGCAGCTTTAAATAGTATTAACTTAAAAGAGATGGGAGCCTTTGTCATCACTTCCAGTAAATCGTTTTTTGTGGATATTTGGATAATTGCAGTTGTTGTTGATGCAGTTTTAAGGATGCTTGGGTTGTTAAATTCTAGTTTGCACTTCAGATTGCATGCCAAACTCAAACATCTGGAGGATAACAAAACAACCCAAGTGCATCTCATGTTCTCAACCTGGAGGTTATGACCTCTTGACTTAAATCTGAGGGACATGATTGATTGGAAGGAAAATTATTCTGCTACACAATTTTGATATCTGTTTTTGTAGTTTTACCCTTTTTGGCTTCTAACACAATTACTCAAATGAAACAATGGAAATGAAAGATGTTCATAGGAGTAAATCTCTATTTTTGGTGGATGTATGTGAACGTATACATCGTTTAATCTTTAGGGGCTACAAGCCAAAAAGGTTTGGAACTCAGTAGCATCCCTGTGAGTTTTTTCTTCAGGTTTTCACTCATGTGTTTGTCCTACAGGCACCAAAGAGGGCAAAGAGGAGGCAGACAGCAGGAGACAGCGGTTCCTCCAACGTGTTCTCCATGTTTGAGCAGAGCCAGATTCAGGAGTACAAAGAGGTGAGGTTCGTCCGGCCACACAGCGACACTCCATCGCTGCAGGAGCGCCTCGTTTTCTACTGTATGAGCATCAGGGAGCAACCGACGTCTGTGTTTTCTAGTTAATGGACAGACACATAGATGTAAAGAGCCTGAATTAAAGCTGCTTTAACTTCAGTTAAATTTCTTGGACCAAATTAGAGTTTTGTTACGCAGCTCTTGGATCCATTTTCACAGCAGTTGCTATTTTGTTATTTTTCTGCCCTGACAATTCAATAAGCACCAGAATGTCATTAGGAGGAGCTCCGAAATATCTGTCACCATTTGAAGCTCTCCACATATCGTTCCCCTTTGACTCCCCCCCCCCACACTCCCAGCTGTCACTCAAACATCTTTTAAGCCTGAAGGCTGCGAGGCCAAACAGAACAACTGGACCTATGTTGTGATGCAGATCAGAGGATGTGAGGAGAGGAAAGAAAAGAGGACAGTTGATGTTTTGAAAACGTTCATGCGTGTTTAATCTCTATTTAACGTCATTTAAAAAGCAGAGACAGACCAAAAGGAGAAAAGAGGAAGTGTGAAGGGCGTGTGTTGGGGTTCAGTAAGGTCGGGCAGATTAGATTTGATACGGCCGTACATGCCTCCTGCGATAAGTGATATGGTTCAGTGCCACTTTGGGAATGTATGACACGATGATTGCGGTGATCTTAGCACGGTGCACAGATGGAAAGATAGCAGGGATGTGTTTCGTATCCGTTAGAGCGGGGGCAAGTGTGTGTATGTGTGTGTGTGTGTGTGTGTGTGTGACAGAGAGAGAGAGAGAGAGCGAGCGAGAGAGAGAGTAAGAAATAGGAAGGCAGGGGGAGAGATGAGAAATGAGTTCTAGTTCAAGAGATTAAGTTTCAGAGTGGATCAGACAGCTGTTCCCTAATGATGCTTTCCCAAATTAACATGTAAGGAAAGACTCGGGGCTACCTTAAGCACCCCCAGCTCCCCCCAGCCCCCCCTCACCCCCACCACCCACACCCCACAAGGCCACCACAGTCAGAGTGGACTTTTCGGGTGCAGCCTTTTTCTTGCACAATATCCTCTGACAACATTGGTAAAGCCCTGCGTCACAGATACTCACAAGCTGGACAAAGTGAGGACAGAACATTCCCTGAAAGAGGTCTCACCTCATCAGTTTTAAGTGTTTCCTTCAAGTAATAAACACAGTCTGCTTCTCCTCTTTGTAGGCTTTCACAATCATTGACCAGAACAGGGATGGTATCATCAGCAAAGATGACCTGAGGGACGTGCTGGCTTCATTGGGTGAGCGCCGTTGGGATGAATCTACAGTGGAAAAGCATGCGCGGCTACTTGTTTCATGGTCTCTTGTACTGATCCAAATTTGTTTTTGGATCCTGTTCAGGCCAGCTGAACACCAAGAATGAGGAGCTGGACGCCATGATCAAGGAGGCCAGCGGCCCCATCAACTTCACCGTCTTCCTGACCATGTTCGGAGAGAAGCTGAAGGGTGGGCGTCTCATTTTCACCAACTCTTTCTCCCAAAGTGTTTTACGTTATTTACATTACAAAGTAGACATTCAGTTGACAGTGGACTCAAGTACTCTTCCTCTGTATAATTTTGAGGTACTTGTAATTGAGTATTTCCATTTTCTGCTACTTTAGACTCGACACAGTTTCAGAGGGAAATTTGTACTTTGTACTTTTTACTGTATTTATTTACAACAATAGTTACTTTTAAGATTTCATAAACAAAACATATTGTCAGTTTATAACATATGATGCATTCTTACAGATTAAACTACCCAACAGTGTCGGAAGTAGTTCAAATAAGCTCTACTGCGACCAACTGCAACATTAAATGGCTGCTTACATATCAATAGATCCAAAAATATTATAATATGCACAATAGGTTCTTTAAGATGTGGATGCAGGGCTTTTTACTCATAATGGAGTATTTTTATTAAGACATGGACAAGTTATGAGACACTGGACCCCTGGGCACAGACATGTAAAGGGTGTTTTGGATCTCTTGTAGTTTTGCGTCTCTTTGAGGATGTTTTGTGTCTCTTTTTGGTAGTTTTGAGTCTCCTCTTCATAGTTTTGCATTACTCTTTAGTAGTTAGGGTTAACTAACCTCTCTGTCTTGTCCTCGTCAGGTGCTGACCCCGAGGACGTTATTCTTACCGCCTTCAAGGTCCTGGACCCCGAGGGTACTGGAAGCATCAAGAAGGAATTGTGAGCAATCTATTTAATAATAATTTCAACGTTATTCACACATGTCCAATTCATTGTTTGACCCCCAAAATCTTGTCTGTTCACTCATTCCAGCCTTGAGGAGCTCCTGACCACTCAGTGCGACAGGTTCTCCAAGGATGAGGTAAAATCACTGCAGAACTGCACGTTTTTGGCAGACTGGTCTATATTCAACATATTCTGAAGTACTAATAGTCAGACAATCATCCACCTGTAACATATAGATTTGCTTTTAACGCGTTAATTTGAAATATTTTACAGAAGAAAGGTAAAAAATGAACAAAGTATGGGATGCAAGTAGGTATTGTGTTCTTAATCAACTGCCTTACTATAAAAGTGTCTCATTGTTTGCAGATGATTTTCCCTTATTTCACAGGGAAATGTCAGTTCAGTATGTCTGCATACTAAATCCATCCATTGCTCAAGACAGAGGTTTAGTTGTCTAAACTTTTAAGTGTTACTTGGGCTAAAAAATAAACGGTTTCGTAGAATAAGCTTCTATAAAGTGGGAGGTCTCTGTAACAGCGAGTGGATAACTTGACCGGTGTCCCAAAAACATGCTGCATTCTTTTGAAGAATATCAGTGTAGCTACATTCTAACGGCATGCTGAATATCCAACCTTCATTCTCTCCTTCAGATCAAGAACATGTGGTCCGCCTTCCCCCCAGATGTTGCCGGCAACGTAGACTACAAGAACATCTGCTACGTCATCACACACGGAGAGGAGAAGGAGGAGTAAAGAGAAAGCTAGAAGACATAAAAGACAGCAATCCCTTTGCTTTTCTGCCTTCCCTGCCCTCTTCTTTCCTCCTCTTCCTCCTCGCCCACCTTCTGTGTAAACCCATGTGCTCAGCCGTCCGTGGTCAAACCAAAGACTTGTCACAATGACACATGAGAGGGCTGATGCCCATGGGGCGTCTGTTTGCTTATGGGGAATAGGGCTGATTTCCAATAAAAGGATCCTGTAACATCATTTCCATCCACAAACTTCTCAAAAACCTGTTCTTTCCTTGCAACCGTCTTCTGTCTTCTCACCTCTATACCTCTGTCTGTCCTGTCACGTCCACCTCTGAGAAGACAGGTGTACTGCTGGGGAGGGGGGAGCACACAGTGCGAGGACCTCATTCTACATTTTGAAGACGTCCTCTCAGGTGTAAAAGGGGGGAGAGGAGGGGAACAGTTGCAGGTTAGAAAGGAAAAAGTAGTGACAACTTGTCTTCCTTGAAAAGTAAAAAAAAAAAAAAAAAAAAAAAAGAAAAGATTGGAGGAGGGGAGAGAAAGGGCCGAAAGAAAACATTCAAGTCTTCGATTTCTTTCCCTCTGCTCCTTCCTGCAACCATTAAATCATCTTTTTTCCATAAGCTGGACTCTTCCTAGCCTTTCCTCTGTAAAAATAAAAGGGACGAACTGTGAATAAAATCTCTTTCCTTTTGTACAACAGTGTCTGTTCAGTGGCTCTGTGCGAGGAATCCAGTCTGGTGGAGTAAACATCAGAACCCCTCCTGAATATATAGCGACATCTAGTGGAGCGTCTTGACATCTGGATGTACAAATAGGAGCCCGAGATGTAAATCTGATCCACAGTTTAATATACATAAATGACTAAAGCAATGAATGCTGGTTAAAAATAAATGCATCAAAATGTATAATGTTTCCAAGAATACAGCAGATCTCAAGGTTGAATTCATCACTATTACGCAGAAAGAACATCGTCCACATTCAAACACCGAGAAAGACAAAAACAAGATGATATTAATATATTATGGTTTATTACTCATCACAAATGTCATTATCATCATCAATTAAATACATCAGTTGTAGATCTGAAGGAATGAATTCAATTAGCTATATGATTTTTATTTCACTTTCGCCACAGAGTGACAATGTAAACTTAAAAACACAACAGAAGTAACGGCATGGGGAGAACATAACCAGCGGAGACGCTTCTTAAAACCTTTGCATTAGTGGGAAGTCATCCTCGATCAAGAACGACGCTTTCAGGATCGATGCAGAAATGCACAACGGACCTGATAGAAACGGGCTTCAATATTGCAGTGCTGACTCCACAAGCTTAGCGAGATTATTAGTTTTGATCATCGAGGCATCTCGAAGCCCTCTGAAATAAGAGACATAACATTATCGCCAAGACATGAGCGGCGAGGATGTATTGCTCATACAATATTGGAGCCCACGGGACAGAAAGCACAAAAATCCATTTCTTCCCACGAGACACCAAACAGATCCTCGCGATCGGTTTGGTGAAATCAGTGCTGCTGTCACCGCACACCATCAACAGTCGTGATGGAGGCGGGTTTGCATAGATGAGTTCAGGTTATCCTCACTAACGCGACACTAATCTGTGCCTGTGAATGCACCGGCATCAAAGGAAAGGGGGGCACGTGATGTTTGTATCTCTAAACCACAGCCTTGTAAAGACCTGAAGTGAAAAACAATGAAAATGCAGTTGACATGTTGGCTACAATTACACGAAAGTCCCTCTAATCCTCAACTACAAAAACAGTACAGTTAAAGAGCATCAATGTTTGCTTTTTTTTTTTTTTACACTAACTACCTGGCACTATTCATCGTATACTGATGGGGTTCAGTGCGGTTTAATGTATGCATAAATATGTTACAGTACAGAACACAGAGTGTAAATAGGTTAGGGAGTTAGTCCAGAAGTCATCATGAATGTTACAACACAACCTGGTGAGACAGACACACTCAAGATCTCCAATTAAAGAACCGTTCAAAGCTCAAGAATCACTTCTTAGTATATTATACAGTACGATTAAGACCTTCAACTCCCAAAAATTCTGCCTGAATCATCTCACGGTTTGTTCTTTCTACTCAAGTCTATTTAATACTGCGCTTCATTAAACCGGAGACTCGTGAACCTTTTGCTGACCTCGCCAACAGTGACGGTAAACTTAAAAACTTAAATAAAAGCGAAGACGTGCGTCGTGTTTGTCGTGTAGAAGCAGAGGACTTGGCGTGCAAAGAAAAGAAATCAAGATGATCCCCCTGCAACCACACCGCGTAGTCGGCCATCGTTCCAGTCAACCAGGTGTCTCTTACTCACATAGAAAAATACTCAGATGCAAAATAATAATAATAATTCATAATATACTATATTTGATCAAATTAACCACTTTGTACATAAATACACCAGAACCTGAAGGTCAAAGTTGAGAGGTTAATGCTACGTTGTCACACCTGGCACCTCCAGTCAAGTGGCTTCCTATAGGTCCTCCAGGCAGACGTCTCTACGTCACTGACGCTCCACTTCAGTGCTACTTTGTGACCAAATCACAAGTGCAAAACAATCTTCCTTCATTCTCTTTTAAGATGCCTGAAATCACATTCTAGTGGGTTCCTTACCCATGCTGGAATTTGGCTAAATAAAAAATACGTACATAGGATTTTGTTTGTCAAAAGCAAAATAATACAAATTTGATAGATTTGGTCTGCGTTGCAAGTTTCCGCGCAACCAGCTTATCAATTATGTTGCAACCGCTTTTTGCAAAAAAATCAACCTCGGACACAAGAAATGTAAATAAAAATAGTAAAATGCTCCCTGTGTTTTCTTTTGTCAGAGACAGAAACACACTTCATGGTTGTATTCTTAATGTTCTCCCTCTTTTCGTCCGTGTACATCGCTCCATTTCCCGCTTCAGGTTTATTCCACTGCAAGAAGAATTTGGGATAATAAAAAAAAAAAAAAAAGAAGCAGCTAGAGGGAGACTGAAAACAGGAAGGACACACACACACACACACACACACACATGCGCACACACACATGCGCGCACACACACACACACACACACACACACACACACACACACACACACACACACACACACACACACACACACACACACACAGAGAGAGAACAGTAACAAATTTCACTACACTGCTAAGGCACACACTCACTCACAACATTTAACATGACAATAAATACATCCTTAACAACATTACTAGCATTTCTGCCTTCAGTGCCTGTGTTTGAGACGACTTTAGAGCTTTTCTTTTCTTTTTGTCGCCGACATCCAGAGAACGAGTCCACAGACGAGAGAGCGTGTGGAGCGCTAACGGGATCCTATGTGCTGTAGGTAGACGTGTTATTTACATATTCTATGGCACCGCAACTATCTCTGCAAACCTTCAGTTCAACGATCCCTCGAGTCAATGTTCCTCTGAACACTGACATCCATCGGATTAAAATAATAAAAAGAACAGAAATAAGGACTGTGATCTGTGATTCACAGTCCGTGCTCCAGTTGAAAAAACATCTCACTTAAACCTGGTGAAAAAGAAAGCATTGAGCATGGGGGCCAAAAAGCCCCCCGAGGTGCTGTGAAAACCATGATCCAGTTTTCTCCCCATAGTCCAGAGTCTACATTAAGTCTTTGAAATGACGTGTTAGGAAGCCACCCCGTGTATTTGTATTGATCACTCGTTCTGTGTCTGGGGGTCTTTTGTTCCCCTGACCTCTTTTTGTTTCGCGTCCCTTTTCATTATTCTGGAATGACGAGTGGGGAACTAGGCCGAATCTCTTGCTGCTGCAGCTCCGTGCTTGTCCTCCGCTTCTCCTCCCCCTTTGTCCTTTTTCTTCCCCCCTTTCTTTTTCTCCTTCTCTAGCCTCTCTTTCTCCTTCCTGAGCCTCTCTTTCTCAGCTTTGTCCTTTTCTTTCTTTTCCTTCATTTTTTTCTTCTCGTCTTCCCTTTCCTTCTTCTTGTCTTCTCTGCTCTTCTTCTTCTTCTTCACCTCTTCCTCTCCGGTTGCGACGTCAGTCACTGGCGCCACTTCTTTTTTCGAATCTGGAATTGGCGGAAGCGGGGTGTTGTTTGCCGTCGGAGAGGGGAGGGTGGGAGTGATCTGCTCGGAGACGATCTTAGGGGAGGGGAGAGTGCTGGGCGGTGTTGCTGTGCTTTGTGTCGGGGCCGAAGCGGTGGGCGGGCCCTGTGCTGAGGTGTCTGAGGAGGAGGCCTGAGGAGGCCCACATGAGGAGCCAGATGCTCCTCTGACTAAGGGGCTCCGAATGTGGGGTACCGGTGCCCTCTGAACGGCCCCTGGAGGAATAGGTGGTTTATGGCTGGGGCTAGATAACTGATGCGTCAGGCCCTCCATCCCCGAGGGGCCCGAGAAGGAGCTCTTCTTGGATTGGGAGTGGAAGGGAGCCTTGGACCTGCGGAAGCCAGGGAGTGAGAGGAGGCTGGAGGAGGCCCTGAGGGGTCCCGGCGGCGGGATCGAGCTTCCCAGGAACGAGAAGCTGCCGCCGGAGCTGATGGAGGAGGCGCGGCGTTTGTACTCGAAAATGGCCCTCGTACCGTGGAGGCGGCGGCCGGGCTGGTGCGTCAGCTCCCCTCTGGACTCCCTCCACTTCCTCACCTGGACGTTGCACTCCCTCTCTATGAGCGACTCCGTCACCGGGAGGATGATGATCTGGACGACACATGAGACGAGACAGACAGAGGAAGTGATGATTACTAGACTGGGCACTACGGGACAAAGTGACTCACACCTCGTGTCGCTGAGTAAAAACAGAAGCAGCTTTTGTTTGTGTCCGAGAAGAGAGAGACACCCACCTCCTGTACCAATATCTCCTCTCTGATAGCGTCGGGTGAGATGTTCCTCAGACACTCCATGGTTTCATACATGCCCTGTACTTCCCGCAGTTTATCCACAGAGCCGAGCATCTGTTTCAGGAGCACCATTCCCACACGAAACACTATCTTCACCCCTACAACCAGAGAGCAAAACGTTTCTACTCCAGCAAGTATAAATATTGATCCAAATTCTTATTATACTGTTAGAATTCATCACCAACTAGAGGTACAGACAGCAGCTGGTTTTATATGGATGTGAATGGTACCTTCACAGAAGAACATGTCCCACACACGCAGTACGCTGGCCCACGGCAAGGTGCGAGAGAAGATGCACATGAACCACTCAGTCATGTAGAGAATCGGGTCGATCTTGAACTTCTTAAGATGACGGTACGCCATCGGACACGTACGCCGCAACAGGGAGAAGAAGATCTCCCCGTCCAGCTGGATCGCTTCCTAAAAACACAGAAATGATGGCGTCAATAAAGCTGAGAAAAACCAACAGGACGTTCTGACAAAAGAGTTCTCTCACTCACCAGTCCAGCGCTGTAGTAGCCGGGAAGATACTTCTCACATATCTGGACGAGGCACCAAAACGCTTGCTGTGAAAACGGAACCAAAGTACAACAGTTTAGGTTATAGTGAGACCGATAACTGCATCAACGCCCACTTTTCCCTTTCTTCCTTCTTTTGGAGATATATAGTGATGTATGAAAACAATTATATAAACACTTCCTGTCCTGCTAAACAGAGAACAGCTTTGAAACGTTCAGCAGATATAGACACACTCCGGCTACAGCAACTGTGTCATTAGAAAATAAAACCTGCAGCTACTTCAGTATCACTACATCAGATCAGAACACCCGTTTACATCAGGGACTGACTGATCTCAGGTTTCAAATCGTCCGATGAGGCAGGTCTGTGTGGTAACCTTGCTGTAAAAACGTTGACCGAGCAAAGCAGCTGTAACCTGAGTCCTGTGTGCAGCACAGACGCTTGATATCAGCAGCATGTGCTGTCTGCTACTATTTTTAATTTAGCGCTTTGTTTCGTTTTCTCGCACGCCCACTCTCTCTGAAGTAATGTGTCCAGCGAAGAGGGACAAACAGGAAGAGAGATCACGCTTTAAAACAAAAAACATGACGTGAACCGCACCGTGTGGTGTGCTACGCACTGACGCTAACTCGTCTTCCCGAGGGCCCGCTGGTCTGGAATCACATTGGAGATTCTTTTGTCTCATGTGAAATCACGCAGCGGGTATTTGACCTACGATACAGTCTCGTGTGACGTGTGAGAACCTGTCTCACCTCAGCCGGCATATGCATGAGCAGTACCGCAGCCACCGGAGCCTGGGCCTGGCAGTAGCCCTCGTCAGGCCGGTAGACGGTGTAGGCCTTCAGGATCCGGAACAGATCCTGCTGCCTGCAGGAACAAACAATGAACTTATTAGAGATGCATGAATTATGCTTCAAGTGTAAACCTTTTTAATGCAGCAACAGATTAGTCAATCATGTGTGTTTACTCAGATGTTGTGTTTTTTTAGTTGTTTTTTTTTTTTGTTTGTTTTTTTACCCGTGGCCACCGCGAGCAGCAAACATCTCATGGAAGGGAAACTGTCTGTGGAGATCTTTCTCTATAATGTCCAGCCATTTAGCTTCTCCCTGCTCTCGCTCCAGCTCCTGCAGGGGAAAAAAAAATAGACAAGTTCTAGAAAAAGTTCTCATTAACTCATGGAGTCAGTTTCCAAATTAGCCATCACAGTGGATTAGACAGGAAAGCCCTGTATGAAAACACATTTGAGAGTCAGACAACACAAACAATACTAAGCAGACTGCTGGGACCCAGACCCAGCCGAGCCCCCCCTCCCCCCCAACGTGGACACGGAGGCCGGCAGGCAGGATTACCGGTCCTGATAAGAGGCTTACAGCTTGCCAGGTCTGCGCCTGCGCCCTTTCAGCACCCCTGGAGCTGAAATTGCCCGGCTCAGCCACAACGTCCCATTACAATTGTCCCCACTTAGAGCCAGTTACTCAACCACAATACTGAAGCTTCTTCAATGTCCTTAAATATTCTGAACACTGCTGCAACCAACTGAATACAAAGAGAGAGAGAGACGAGTTCAGGCCTGAGTCCATGTGTAATGAACTGACACAATCTTAGACCTCATGTTTTTTTGTTATGCCATTCACCGTCTGTGTTAAATTGTAAAATGTTGATAAAAAGAAAACTTTTAAAAAGACAACATGGTAACAGTGATACCTCAAATTTTCCCGGGTTGGCATCCAGGAGCTCTTGGCTGTTGGACAGCAGCTGCCAGGCTTTGGCTCTGAGAGAAGATGGAATCCCCTTCCTGCAGCGCAACTTCACCTTTAACGCACAAAAACACACACAGGGTATCAGCTCTGGCATTATGTCAAGTATGACCAATCCAAGTATACGTAAAAACACAGCTGAAAGGCCGATGCGTACCTTCGGGAAGCGATGTTTGATCCATTTATCCCAGTTGTGGAACATATCGAGCCATTTCACCTCCCTTTGTCTGGCGACTTCAACTCGAACTTCCTTTTCACTGTAACGTGAGCGATATAAAATGACTCCATCACTGACAGAAGTGAGAAGTACTCGTTTTCTTTTCACACCTCTACATACTGCACTACGATATGTTTCGACATTCTGATCTCGTTGCACAAATGAATTACTCGCTCTCTGTTTCACATCAGTTTGCACAACGTTATGATGAATTGATCAGATAGAGAACAACATTGACCAGAATTCACTGCCACTAGTGACGGGCAATCTATATTCAACAGTGGAAGAGCAATTAGCTCGTCAGAAAAAGTAGAAGCAAAATCTGACAGAAAAGAGAGGAAGAGAGCAGATGGGCTTGAGAGGTGATACCACAGAGACACACAGTCAGTACACATTGAGTCACAAAAACACTCTCAGCATTATCTGAGTCAGACCAAGGGGAGATAAAGAATGAACAGATATGTTTAGAGCAGCAGAGAAGAAGAAGAAGACAGGAAGGAGAGGACTATCTCTTTGGGGCAGATGGATGATGGAGCAAATGAGATGTTTGAAGCAAAGTGACCGATTAAAAGGAAGATAGGCAGGATTTACATGTATCAGATAAACAGATTCTGTGGCCATAATCTAATGTCTCATAATGCATATAGTGTAATGTCTACATTAAGCTTAAAATAAAGAGATGGATTTTTCCCCCTCCTTCAAACAGCCATAATGAATAACCGTCTCTCAGTTCAGAATATCTCAGGCTTATCTGTTAGATATAATGACTTCACCAAGTGATCAATATTTTGCAGTGGACGGCAGCTTCATTAGTTAATGTCATAACACTCACCCTGTTTCACTGTACTGATTCCCACCTAGGAAGCCATATTTATCCGTGCGCCTGACAGCCATGCCATTGACCTCCGAGTCGGAGCCCACAGAGCTGCCGTCCTCTCCCAGCCCAGATAGAGACTCCAACGTCCCCGACATCATGCTGGCTGACTCGAGGTAGCTGAGGGTGTCAGGGGCCGGCCGGGGTTTGGGGTTGGGCAGCGGGAAGTCTGGCTCTTGGATCAGTGGGACAGTCGGGCTGGGGTGTTCGGCTCTGGTGGGGGTGATGGGCGGTTCTGCTTTCCCTGCTTCAATGGGAGTGTCGGGCTTCGGGGAGATGGGAGGAGGCTGACTTTCAGGATTTTGTGCTTGTTGAAGTGGCTGAGGTTTCTCCTCTTCAGCTGCTGCTGATGCTGCCGTATCGATGGATTCTGCAGGCGCAGGCGCTGGATTGGAAGCTGCAGCGATTCGGGGTTGTCCCGCTGTAAAATGACCATCTTCCATGACAGGATTTGGATTGTGTGTGACATGCACATTGGGGTAGAGATTAGGACCAGGATTGAGATCAGGAGAGGGGGATGCCTGATGCACTTCGCTCTGAGCTGATGGCTCACTTGAGAGTGCCGGGGTCTCTGTTTCAGTATTAAAGAGCTCTGCAGCTGGTGGGTCACCGGTCATTGTTTCCTGCTTCATAACATGAGCTCCAGTCTCTGCAGCTTTCCCTGCTGAGTCCTCCGTCTGTGGAGCAGCCTCGTGTACCAATAATGCGAGGGGGGTCTCACCAGTGAGTTTGGGAGGACTCGAGGATGGCGGGGGAGTACAGGGCGAACCCCCCGACTGCGCTGCAGGAGTGTTTCCAGTCAAAGCTTTGTCATTGTAGAGGGAAGACTTGGGCATGGAGGTCTCCTTGGCGGACTCTGGAGCAGGGCTGTTGGTAGCAGGGTGCGCTGAGGAGGATGGAGGGATGGATGGAACTGCATGAGGATCACCCAATGCAGGGGGTGATGGGGATAGGGTGAAGAGTTCGGCCATGATGCCGCTCTGATCTCTCCTTTACAAATAGAGAGAAAATAATAGACATCAGTTTTCTTTTGCTAGAGAGCAGCTGTCAGTTCAGTCAATAAATAAAACCTACAGCTTGGATCATAAACCGTTTATTATAAAGAGGATAGAGATGCAAATCCTCTCAGCAACAAGTCAGACCCTGGAAACTTTAAAAAAGGTCAACGCTTGATGCAACAGATGACTAAAGTGTATGAAAATCTTTGAGCCGTTTTCTATAAAGCATAAGCGCAGAGTTCCTCTTCTTAAAATTAGATCAGAGAATACAACAGGAGAAGCAGCAGACTGTCAGCCGTATAACTCCAAGCCACTGTCAGTGGTTTTACTTGTAACTTCAAATGTATATATATACATATATATACACATATATATACATATATATACACATATATACATATACATACATATACACATATATACATATACATATACACATATATACATATACATATA